TTTTAAGCGTTTTTCTATTAAATTTAGTTAGGCGTAAAATATAAGGGAGCAGGTTAAAGCGAAGGTTTTATGCGCGCGCCAGATTCCTGTAAATATAACCTATGCCTGTAGCTCTACTATTAATTAGAGCTATAGTATTTATATAGGTAGGGCCTTATTATATAGAAATAGGGATAAGAATTTATTATTTCTAGGAGTTAGGTTTAGGTTCTTTAAATAGGTTTATAGAAATCCGGGGTTAAAATAGTCCCGGGGGGCAACTTAGCCCTAGGATAGGGCTTTTAACAACTTCTTTATACAGGATAAGCGGCTACCTCTAGATTAATTAGAGCTAGAGGATAAAGTAGTAGATATAGAGGAACGGCGGGCAGATAAGAATCGGGTGGAATTAGTTAATTGCGCGTATATGCGCGGTCGGGGGCTTAAAGGCTTATCTATGCTAGATAATTAGACTTAGGGTAAGAGAATAGAGCAATTGCGGGAGATATAGCCATGCTTTCTATATTTAAAGCAGAGGCCCTTTTAACAATATTTATCTTATTCGGCTGAGCCGGCTGGAGCATATTTAGATATATTAATTTCTATTATATCTGGGTTCTTTTATAATAGAGGGGAATATTAAAAGGGTCGGCCGGGCAGGAATTATAGATTATTATTATACTTCGCAATTAAGTTAGTATAGTTGTTTAGATTATCCGGGGTAGTAGCGCTAACTATTACACGGCGGAGTTTATTAGAGAGGGAGTATTAGAGCTAAGTTATTAGGCCAGCTTTGTTCAGATCTATATTAGCGGCAAGTTGTCGGAATTTAGCAAAGTATAATATAAAGGCACGCCTTCCTTACTTTAGTATATAGAGTTAATTTAAGAATATAAGTTTCTGGTTTAGATTACTGTATATAGCCTGCAGGAATTAGACAAGTTAATTAATAGTATAGATATCTTAGTCTATTAAGGGGTTAATAAGCGTTAATAGGTTAGATTCTAATTAAGAGTAAGCGTATAGCAGGCGAGCATGTTTAGTTAGGTATTAATTAGCATTTCCTTCCAGTTTATACTATAGTTGTCGGACGAAGATTAGGAGTTCCTTTTAACTTCCCTTAAATATTAGAGGGTTAATTAAATATTTAGTTTTTAGGGTTGGCGGGGCGGCGGCTATTAGGGAGGAGTCTATTAAAGTCGGCGGAGTAACTTTAATAGTTAGGGTCCGTATATAGTTTATATTATTGGCAGGTATTAAGCTATTATTTAATTTATAAACAGAAGGCCCTGCAAATTATTAGTTGGGCGCTAGTAGTAGAGTAGGGGTAGATTTAGACTAAATTGCGGCTACTTCCTCCTGCAGAGCAGCAATTTCCTATTTCTAGGCGGATAGGACTTCTATTACAGCAGCCTGCTATTCCTTTATAAAGCTAACGAGCTCTAGAAGTATTATAGTCGGGTTAGTAGAGGTGTCTATAGTAGTAAAAGTAGATATAATATAATATTATAATAGTGCTACACGCGAGAGGTTAAAGGCTTAAAGAGGAGCGTTAATTAGGTGCTATATATAATGCTACGTGGAGAATTAAGACGTTGTGTAAGGAATAGGAAGACGGGAGACGGGCCACCGGATATAAGAGCGTGGCTAAGCGCGTGGCGTACGGCCTCTATGCCGTTTCAGCGCGTGGCATGCGTATACGCGAGGTCCTTACCAGATTAGGTGATAGGAAAAGGGGGCAGCCGGTAGGTGGCTGGAGCGGGACAGGATAGGAAGCGGAAGCAAGACGGGAGTAGAGCAGGGCAGGCAGGGCAGGAGGCCGGCTAGCAGTAGTAGGCCGGTGCAGATTGCTGGAGTTGTAGCAATCTGCGGCAGAATTTTAGTAGGTAGGGTATTGCGGTCGATACTATAATAAATACTATATATATAGACTATAGTTTCTATACTTATAATAGTAAAGGTATAATACTAGGCGCGCAGGCTATTATTAATACTATATGCGCAGACTATAGTCTCTATACTT